TGAATGGAAATCCAAAGGTCTCTGTAAACTTTCATGAAAATAAATTTTAAAATAATTTAAAAATGTTCTTGCTGTTACAACTAACTGTTGTTATGTAATTGGAACCCACTCATAACTGATCCTCCATTGGGAGGCTGTAAATCACATGGGAGGAGGCTGTAGTCACATGGACAGAGGTTGCACATCTTTCTCAGAACAGCTGGTGGATTTGAAGCATGAGCCTTTGGGATTGGCAGTGAAACTCCTTACTCATTAGGCCATCAGTACTGTCTTTATAATAAAAAAAGAAATAAATTTCTGTTGAAACATCATGTAAAAATGTTATAGACAGTCATTTCGGTGTCACCACATCCAACAGTGTCACCTGCTATGGTCCATATTCCTTCCCTTGCCTGGTGATGACATTGTCTCCCAGAGACTCCCTGGGACTTTGGTCAACCCTTGGATAGGGAGGAGACACAACTTCTCCTTGATAGCTTTAGGATGCACTGAATCCCAATTCCATAATTATAGAAATGGCACACAAGGACAGAGACAGTAAACTAACTCATTTCATGATAAAGTCAAAGATTCTTTATAAGGTGCTGTCATTTCTCACTTTGTGAACAGGAGGATCCAGTCTCAAAAGAGTGTCTTTCTTCACAGTTGCCCTTGTTGCCAAACATGTAGCTTTACTGGAGCAGGAAACTAGGAGAGCTGGTTTAGAGAAGCAGCTGTTTATACCTATGTCCAAGGACTGGACTTGTACTTTTAGAAACTCGAGTTATTTATTTGCCTTTGTACCTGCTCTCAAATTCAAAGTCTACCCCTTCGCTTTCCTTTCTGAGCTCTGTAGCCCTTGCTTTATTTACAGCTCCATTGACCACTTCTTTGGGCTTCATTGCACTGTTATGCAGATTGCCCCATTTCAAAATTGTCTGGAATGATCCCTTTTTTAACCAGTCTTTTGAGTGTGAACTCATACAAATTTCTGTCTTTGAGATCCTATGGGATTTGGTTATTATATCCCACCCAACAGCTGGCATTCCAGAAGGCAGCTTGAGCTATAGTAAAAATATATTGCAAATTCATTATGTATATATCAAACCCACAGTTACCCAGAATTTAGGGAATGAGAGATTCTGGAGAATGGAATTTTTTGTTACCTGAAATTTATGTGACATCACTCCAAGGTTGTTTTTTGTTGTTTTGTTTTTGGTTTTGGTTTTTTGTCTTCTCACACTTGGCTTTCGAAATGCTACTAAAAGTGACAGTATCTTCTTTTCTGCCTTAATAAGGCAGGGCCAGTTAACAAATACTTTGCTTGGTTTTTTGATATTTTCAAGGGTATCAGGGTTTTCACACTTAATATCAAGAATCATGCCCAACAGTCCAATGTGAATAATTTTATAAAACAGAATGAATGAGAACTCGATGGCACTTAACAACAATAACAACAACATTAGAGAGGGCTCTGTTGGCCTAGTGGATAGAAAGTGATGCTACCAAACCAAAGGTGGGTGATTTTAACCTGTAGCCCTCAGGCCTGGTTTTAATTGTTTTGGTCAAACATTCTTCTAAGTGGTCTAGCACTGGTCTGTCAATTTGCTGTACAGAGGTAACTCATGGTTGCTGTGATGCTGAACACTGTGACACTGATGTGTCAAATGCGATAATGGTTACCCATGGTGGACAGCGTTTGGTGGAGCTCTCCGATTAAAACAAGCTTGACAGCAGGAGTGGCATCTACTTCTGAGATTTCTTGCCTTCGTAAACTCTATGAACTTGAAGAAACGATGAAAGTTATACAAGTGTTCAGGTCTTTTGTTCATAGGGTCACTATGAGTCGTCTACAACTTGACAGCACTTAACAACAACAATGAATGAGAATGTGTGAAAGACAACATGAATGAAGAATAGTGTGAAACACAATGTCTATGAACTCTGTAAGCAAACCAATATTGTTGTTAAGTGCTGTTAAGTTGAGCATGATTCATAGTGACCCTATGAACAAAAGAGCTGAAGCCCGTTCTATAACTATCATAATTTCTCTACTGCTTATAGAGTTCCCAAAGGCATATTGTTTAGGAAGTGGATGTCAAACCTGCTAAATATTTTTTTAAATCTATATGATAAGTCAATTTTAAAAAAGAAAAAAATAATTTAAAAACACCCAGAGAAGGCTTAAGAGATAGAGCTTTATATCTACTTAACCTAAATTACCTTCTTGGATATATTTTGCTTTTATTAAAATACAAAGTATTCCCTCTTAAAAGAAGATGTCTTAGTTATCTAGTGCTGCTGTAACAAAAATACTCTTAAATGCATGGCTTTCACAAACAAAAGTTATTCGTTCACAGTTTAGAATAGATGCTCACAATCAGAATGCAGGGTAAGACTTTCCATCTTTGTGTTAGTTCTAGGGGAAGGTTTCTGTCATTCAGTCTTTCCCTGGGTCTCAGAGTTTCTTAGCACATAGACCCCAGATCCAAAGGCTGCAATCCACTCCCAGCTCTTCTTTCTTGAGATCCTCTACCTCTGCTCACTTGTTTAATCTCTGTTAGATCTCAAAAGAGTGACTCAAGATAAAACCTAAGCGTGCCTCATTAACACAACTGACTCTAATCCTGCCTCATTAACATCATGGAGGTGAGGATTTACAACACATGGAATAATTACATCAAATCACAAAATAGATGATGATGATGATATAATACTCATGGGTCAGTCAAACTGACACATCTTTTGAGAGGGGAAAGAAGTCAACCTGTAAAAGAGTGGGGACAGACTATGTTAAAGTAGAGACTTGATTAGTAATGTTCTAATAATTAGAATAATTATATAAATGTAACTACAATGATGCTGTTTTCATTAGAGTAGCCTAGACTTGGAATTGTGAAGAAATCTACCTATTTAAGCTCTTGTGCTTGGTGGTGAGCATGCCCAGAATCTCAATATCTGCGACATTCTCAGCCACTTAGAAATAATGAGGGGCAGGGATGATTTGTCAAAGAAGGGTTCTAATCTCCACCCAGACCTGTAAGCCACACAGCCAATGACTGCATAGACCTAACAGACTAAAAATGCTGAATTATATGTTGGCTGTTTCTACTGATTTTTCTCTTGTTGTATCAAAATTGGTTGGCTTCAAGAGTTATATATGTCTGGGAAACTGACACTGCAAAGTTCTGGCTTGTTCCCTGGCCTGATGCTAAGTGATAAATATAGATCTCAACCACTACAGAAATTTGGCCAGGATTCCAAGGGGTGTGTGTATGTGTGTGAGGGGCAGTGACTGATGGGCTACTCTGACATGTGGGCTAGAAAAAGGTTTCTTTAGGTCCAAATCCCTCTTTGGAGACTGGGGGATGGGATGGAGAGTAAAGGGTAGCCCTAGCCTCTAACACACATTTTAAGAAGCTCAGAGAGTGGCACAAATAAGGAATACTGTAGATGCTTTTTTGTGTATGTGCGTGTGGGGGGAGAGAAAAGGGAATCTTGCCTGACACCCTGGATCCTTTCGCATGACATCAGCCTTATGAAAAAAGCAAGTTATTCCTAGCCATCTCTCCTCACCCCAACTCCCACCCACACCCTACCCCTTGCACACATTGATAGCCAACTCACCATTGAGAAGAACAAACAATTTAAGACTGCCAGTGGGCCCACTGTATATCAGGCGCTGGAGAAGGGCAGGGGGTGGGAAGAGTCATGAAGGTGGAGGGGAGGGGTGGTGAGTCGCTCATCCTCGTGACCCAGAATATCACCCCCTCTCTGTAATGATGAGCTTGCTTTTCCATAAGGGCTTTCCCTTGATTCAGGGAAGGGGCCAACCAATGAGAGAGGGACATGTTAGATTATTTTGGGGAAGGGCTCATGCCAGGAGGGTTCACTTTTACTAGGCGCCAAGTGTCCCCAGCAGCCAGTGTCTCCTGTACCAGCAGAAGTTTCAGAACTCTCACCCACTTGCCTGCCCCTGCTGCATCTTTGCCCACTGAGCAGCCATGAGAAGGCAACTTCGATCCAGAAGGGCTCCGACCTTGCCTCATGGTTATCGCTTCAGACTTGTGAGTCCAGGGAGCAGGACAATTTTGCTATCCCATTTTAGCAGGGTGGGTTGGGGGCTGTGTAGGTCTGGGCTTATGGTTGTTTTCCCTTGCGTTAAGCAGAAACAGTAAAGTTTATGAACACCCAATGGCTTCCTGCACCCCAGGGCACCCTACAATGCTGAAGGGAAGGAGGAAGTTCTCTTCCTAGGAAAGAAAGTCAAAGATAAGAAAAGAGGGATATGCCAGAGAATAAGGAGCTTTCTCAATTTATTATTTTTTTTCTCTTGGAAGTCCATAATATGGAGCAGACCTTTTGGAATCTGGGAGTCTGAGTTTCATTCTGATAGCAAGAAATTTAAGCAAGAGAGAGGGGAGGGGCGGAAGAAAAGACAGCTGCCCAACTGTCTCGTTCCCTTTGGTGGTAGCTTCTTAGGAACCCAGCTGCTCTTTTTTAAAAGTAGAAATTCCAAACTCTAGCTATAATCAAAGGCTCCTTAATACAAGAAGCTGGGAGGAAACCTAGAGATTATCTCCCCAGTACCCTTAATTATGTAAAGGAGGCTTCTGGGGATCAGAACCTGGAAGTGACTTGCAAGGTAGTGAAGGAGCCAAAAGCGAGATTGCAAGCCTTTTCATTTCTAGTCTTGTGCTCTTTCCTTAACACTGTGCAGTATGGAATCCCTAGCCTCACCTGATATCCACCCTGCGCAATGCCATGCTGCTTACTATCCTACACACACACACACACACACACACACACACACACACACACCCTTTGGTATTAGCACTTATCTGCAGAATACATTACAAATTCCTTTATCCCAAACTTTCTTGGCAGGTACTTCGCTAGAAATCATTAATCTATGCCACATACAGTGTCTTGAGTGAGGGTGGGGGTGGGAGTCAGTCTAAAATATCAGAGATTCTATACCCCCAGAATTAAGTAAAGAGCATCTATCAATAGCCAAGACAGGAAAGTACAAATTATTCTCACCTCACAACAACCTACAGAGGGCTTCTCTTAGCCTTCCAGCTATAATGTGTAGGCTCCTGCTTTTGACAGCCCCGAAGTCCTTCTAGTTCTCAAAGTAGTTACAATCAGTGGGGCATTCCTTACTTGGCTTCTCTTCCGTGGAATGTTTTGGAAATGTGTATAATTTTAATCGTCATCAACTGGTTACATTTTACATGCATCAGGGGAACTTACTTCTTATGGGGAACACTCGGGCAAATTAAAAAGAAATTATTTAGTACAATGCATAATAATTACACACTAATTCATCTTTGAAAATGAAAATGAACCAACTGATGAAACGTGTGCAGGGTGTTGCTTGACGCAGGGCACAAATTTATCCTTTGGGTCCTATTGTTTATCTATTTTGTCTATATATTTAGAATGCACACAATGGAGCCACCCTCTACCCGTCAGACTCTTCCCTTATAGGGCAATCTGAGGGCTCCAGCACACACCCATTTCTGTACCCCAGTACACTCATACAAGCTATCACTTGGGAACAGTGCTGTTTTAGGAAATTGACAAAAACAGATCATTGAGGGTAAACATTCTCATTACAGAAGGATCCCCTAGTGGATTTCCTCAGATAATTGCATGAACAATATTTTACACAGAATTTTATTAATGGGGGATTTTTCAGAAAGGCAGCACTTGTACAACATGAGGTTTCCCTGCATCTGGAAATGAGAAAGAAGAAAAAGGACATTTGAGGCGCGAAAGCGAACTCTCCGAAGATGCTTTCTTCCTCGAGGCTTGAATGACAAGCCATCTTTAATGGAGTTACCATGAGAGCTCATATCTATAAAAGATCAGGCTGAGGTCAAGGCCAGCTGTCTCCTCAGTGGAGCAGAGGGGCAGGCATGCATAGGCAACAAAGGGGGGAGTGAAGTGGCTCCGAGAATATAAAGGGAGTATAAATTACTCCATGATGAAATGTTACACTTCAAATTCTCTGAGCTTCTTAATTGCATTCGGTCCTCTGGGGGCCATGATGGCTGCTCTCTACAATCCACGTGACAGCTGAGGTCACGGCGACAAGCTCTAGGAGAACATTCCCCAGAGCCTTGGATCAGAGCATCAAGCCTGGCTGTTACCATTGATATTTGGTCACTACTCTCTGGCTTCACACCAGGGAAGCCCATCAAGGAGTTAGAAGCTATACACCCTATCCCCGGGGTGCTCAGAATATAGAGTGTGTGTGTGTGTGTGTGTGTGGGGGGAGTTGTCAGATGTGTACCTAGGTTCACACACAAGAGAAGGAGATTTAAGAACATTTAGTTATGCTTTCTACAATGAGCCACGGGGTTTGAGCCATATCAAAGTCGGAAATCCTGGACTGTGTGTTTGCTTGCAGTCTCTTGGGAACGCAGCCTAGCACACTGCTGTGTTCATGAATCTGCTAAACCATCTCTAAGCACTTGTGCTCAGCTTGGTAGAGAAAAAAAAATCTCTTGTCTAGGACATCGAGAGAGAGATACAGGTTCTGTTGGGAACCTACTGTATTTCTTTGGCTAAATACACCCCTCTCTCTGGCTTCAGGGAGCTCTGGTGGCCTAGTGGGTAAGGTGTTGTGGTGGCAACCCAAAGGCAGGTGGTTTAAATCCATCTGCTTTGTGGGAGAAAGATGGGCAGTCTACTCCTGTGTGATTTATAGCCCCTGAAAACCCATTCGAGGGTCAGCTATGAGTCCGTTTGACTCGATGGCTTTGAACTTGAGCTTGAGTTTCAGTTGGACAAGCTGATCTTAAACATCTGTGTCTGCTCTTAAAGGACATCTCATATAAAGTCATACATTTGAGAACATTAGGAAGCAATTCTAAAGTGCTTATGAGCACGAACCAGATCGCGCTGAGCAGCAGAGTGGAGCCTTGTTATTCAGCACCAGTTTTAGTGGTTCTAAAAGACTTCGTTTACGGAACCTCTTCACCAAATGCAGCCTTTCTAACCGAATGCCCTCTAAGTGGCCTTTGAGGAATTGGGCAAGGAGAGGGCAACACGGAGCCCCTGGCCCTATCACTTGACACATCCAGCCTTCAACAGGTGCAGAGGTCCTGACACTTCAGACTTGGATGGCCAAGAGAAGGGAGGGTGGTGACTATATTATCTGCTGCAGCATCAAGGCTTGGCAGACCCCCAAAGAGCCAGGATCTAACTCTCCAGGCCATGGCTAGGAGAAATTGAAAAACACGGCTTGATGAAGTTTGGGGGTTTTCTTTTTTGTTTCCTATGTTACATTTTCATCCAGTCACTTGGAAGTTACAGTTTCTACTTAAAGTAATGATGGTGATCAATCAACAGATACTGCCTGAGCCCTTATTACATGCCCAACTTTTGGCCTAGGGTACAGATGGAAACTAAGGAAGGATCTATTGGGATCCCAGCCCGCAGAGTGGTCTGTCCAACCAGTTTAGGGTAGGCAGAATGTCCATCTAGAACAATAGTCAGTGGGGCAGCAATTAACCACCTCCCATGTCTTGTTTCTTTGTAGAAGGTAGTCTACCTTTTGAAGAAGGATGCAGCAGTTTGCTTGTTGCTCCTCCTGATGTCTGAACCAGGCTATTTGAAAATGCACCTTGGGATGGCGGGAGTTGGCAGTTAGAAGTTTACTGGGTATTAGGATGAAACCAGTTCAGACTTGTTTCCATCATGGAAACTCCATCCTCCAGTGTGGAGCTCAACACTGCCCAAAGGCTAGGCAAAGCTAAGCAGGAGGTCAAGGCCCCAGGACAGGGTAGTGGCATGAACAGACTTGGAGAAAGAGTTCCCAATACTGAAGCTTAGAACACAACCTCCATTTTTCTGGAAAAAATGTTATTGTTGTTGTTATGTGCCGTAATTGACTCAAAGCTGACCCTCCAGCGGGTTTTCAGAGACTGTAAATTGCATGAGAGGAAACTGTCCATCTTTCTTCCAAGGAGAAGGTGGTGGATTTGAATTGGCTGCCCTTGGGTTGGCAGCACAATTCGCTACCCATTAGGCCACCAAATTGAAAAAATCTGTTCAAATTCGTGTTAGATTTTTGTAAATAAACTGGCGGGGGGGGGAAGACAAGAAAATACTGATTCCAAATAGGTCATATTGTTGTTTTGCTATTAAGTCAGGTTTTCAGAGGCAGTAAATTGCACAGGAGGACAATGTCCATCCTTTTCCCTCACAGCAGCTGGTGGATTCAAACCTTGTGCCTTTGGGGTTACAGCACAGCTTCTTACCACTAGGCCACCAGAGCTCCCAAAATTGGTCATAGAAAGACCATTTCCCCTCACAAGAACATAGGGAAGGAAAGTCTGCTTTGGTAGCAACTGGTATTTGTATGGAGAAGTGGAAATTTGAAATGTCTCTAAATAAAATATCCTTTCCCATATATTTTTGGCTGGTAGGATGTCCCACTGGATATATTTCTCAAAAGGAGGGCTGTGATTTGTCACTCTTCCAGGATGATCAGGATGAAATGAACCAGAACTACCTGGCAGATGAAGAGGAAGAGGCTGAGGAAGAGGCTCAGATGGTGGCGATGCCCAATTTGGAGGAGGAAGAGAAAGAAGAGGAACAAAAGGAAGAGGAAGAAGTTCAGGATCAGCCAGCAGATAACACCTGGTGGCAAAAATTGCAGCTTATAAGTGAATATTTATGGGACCCGGAGCAAAGGATGTCTCTGGCCCGAACAGGTCAGAGTTGCAGTAAGTCCCAATTATCCAAACGTCCCAGTCGGATGTTCTTTGCTTTTGGCTTGGTGTCTAGGGCTCCTTTACCATATGCTGGATGGGTGTGTCTACAAATTCCTGTCAGCATTTCATCTAAATGAACCAACAGTACCAACAGATATGCTGGGACTATGTGCTGGACCCATTAGAACAAACTCCCAGTGGGTGAATATACTTGATTATGGCTGCAATCACTGGATCCAATATCAGCTGTGGGGCAGAGAGTGCAAATGAGTTGGAAAAGTACAGAATTTCTTTGAAATCTCAGCCTCATCACTTTTTACTCATGTGGCCTCAGGCCCATTATTTACCCACTTTGAGTCTCAGTTTCCTCAGCAGCCGAATGAGGGAGATAAACCCCTGCCTTGCTTTTCTCACATGCTAAGTGTGAGGCCCCAACAAGATGACAAAAATTGTCAAGTTGAAAGCACCATGCAGAAGACTGTCTCTAGGATGCGAGACTCAAGTCCTTGCTAACCCAGCCAAGGGTTTAGAAAGCTTCACCACTTCACCTGCTAACATCAGAAAAGGAGACCCCAGCACATAGGTGTCTCACTGTCTAGTGGTGGATGCACGGGGCACATAAAGAGATCATTGGTAGAGGTGAACACTGAGACCCATGTTGCTGTTGTTATTAGGTTCCATCAAGTCCAGTACGACTCATAGCAACTCTGTAAATGAGATCTGAACCCTGTGCTGTCTTGTGCCGTCTTCACGGTCTCTGACACATTTGATCTCCATAGCACATGTTTAATGGTAGCATTGCATTCCTTCGCATTCCCTCCTTATACCGCATGCTGCCACCACTCTTCTGCCACAGCCTCCATGGCACCCCTTTCCTAAGGTCTTATGCATCTCTTAAACTATCCATGCTGAGCCTTCTCCTTAGGAGATTTAGCCTGAGACGAGTCACAATTGTCGTACACTCTGCACAGCCCAGAAAAAAAGAGCAGCTGCTGATTCGGTTAATCCACAGGAAAAGGAAAAACACTGAGGGTGCCATGGATGAAGTAAGAGTCAACCTAGTGCCAAGGGCCTAGAAGTTCATGGTTGAGCTGTCTAACGGCTCCTTTGCCTGAGAATCTTTTCCTTCATGGTTTATGGTCCTAATTCAACTCATTCAGGGTGAAACTGGCAGGCTTACTCCCCGGAATTAGGAATAGCAGGTGTGGGGTTCTCGCACCCACCTCCCTTCACTCCTCCTCGGTTCCCAGCCCTACCCCTGCCCATTCCTCTCCAACTTCCAACTGGAACAAATGTACTGTTAAGGGACATTCCAACATTCTGGAAGCTGCATACAAAGGCTGGACACCCAGTGGAGCTCCAAAGGGGGTGCAGCTGTTTCTCCTTTGCCTAAAGAGGACTAGGAAAACAGGCCCCGTGAAAACGCAAGTGTAATTACAGGAGGCAGAGTCATACGTTAACCCCTAAGCACCTAGCCAATTGAACTTCACTTGATGATGTGGTTGTTAGATGTTCTCAACTTGAATATGACTCATAGTAACCCCGTGAATAATAAATCTGAACCCCATCCATCCTCACAATCTCTGACACACTTGAGCTACAGTTGCTGTGTCAACCCATCTCATTGAGGGTTCTCCTCTCTTTTGCCATCCCTCCATCTTTCCGAGCATGATGTCCCTTCTCCAAGGAATAGCTCTCCTAGCAACATGCCCAAAGTATGTGGGTTGAAGCTTCATTATCTTTGCTTCCATGGAACCTGTGACTGCACTTTTCCCAAGACATATCTGTTTACTTGATGAGCTGGTCCAAATTGCTCCTTGGGAGGACACTCCCTAGCCCAGTAAGTGGGAATGAAAGAGAATGGTTCAGTGTCCAGGAAGAATATGGCAGTAGGGATGCTGTGCAGTAAGCCACGACCAGGGCATTAGGTACTGGGTCTAAGGAGAGTCTAGAAATACAGGCTGCTTCTGTGGGTGAAGTAGTGATGTCAATGCCTAGATCATTAAGCATGCATTTCTACCCTCTTACCTGAGACTTAGTTGCCCAGTTGTACACTCTACTGTAATCCTGTCCCAGCCTGGACATCAATGTATACAATACATTCCCGCAGCCTGTTACCATGCTCTAGGCTTTGCTTTGATAGCTGGGCAACCTCTCTTCTTGGGCTTTATATGCTATTTTACTGGATACTGATAAGAATCATATGAGCCAGTAATATTATTATCATCCCCATTTTGCAGATGCAGAAACTGAGGCTTAGAGAGGGTAAGTAACTTGTCTAAAGCCACCCACTTAATAAGTGGCAATGTTGGATTGCAAACCCAGACTGGATGAACACTAGAGTTCCTTCTCTTACCAAGATACTAGGAACTGATGGGATGCATCGGAAGATTGAGTGAAGAGTGGTGAACATTGATACCTAGCTGTCTATCCAACTAGTTGTCTATCCAATTCTGTACTGCATATTACAAGAAAGAAACTTGGACTTCATATGAAATGGACCCAAATAAAATATGTACATCCAGAGCAGAAAAGTTTGGAGGAATCAGTGGTTTCAGATGTACACATTCTGGGTTTTGCCTGGAAGGTTGGCTGAGGTAGTTAACCCATCCTAGACTCTGAGGTGAGGCTTGGCAGTCTCATTGGTAGGGCCCTTCTCCCAGCTGCAGCTTCCTAGTTATACATCCTGGGCAAGGAAGAGGCGATCACTAAGGAAACATAGCCATATCCCATTGTTCTCCCTTCATCCATGAAACTGAGTCTTCCAGTCCATTAACATGGCTCCAGCTATTGATTCATTCCCAGGCTAGGGAGAGGGGAGGAACAGAGTAGACACACAGCACTAGGATAGCCAGTGGGCAGCAGCCAAGTGTTACAGGCACATAGGCCCTGTTCTTTCTTCTCTAGTCTCCAATTGGATCAGTCTGTTCATGTTCCAGTTCTGCTTTAATTCATCTGATAAAGCATTAATTCCCTGATCAATTGGAATGACCAATTCCATTTCCAGCTTGATCACTATGGATTTCTCTACCTACTTCCACTTCCTTCTCTGGGGGGGTTAATTTTATTTGGTTCATGGTTCGATTTAAAAATGAATATTTGGCTACCGTTTGGGGTACAGTAAAGTTATGTGGTTTGTTCCGGATTCTAGTTCATGATTCAGTTCAAAGTTACTGCTGTGAGCCAGAGCCAGTTATTGTTGCCTCAGGAAAGGGTTCCAAGGAGAAACTGAAAAGAGCTGTTCAGCAGCCAGCTCACCCACCCACACCTCACAGGGTACTGACTAATCTTAGTGCCTACCTAGTCTTACTAAAGCCCATGGAGGAGGAATCTACACAACATAGCAACAGCGGTACCACAATGACCACCACTGATAGACTATCTGTAAGCCTCTGGTCTATGCTGTTTCTACACATTATTCAACACGAAGAAGTAAATACTATTGTCCTCATTTCACAGATGTGGAAATTGAGGCCCAGAAAGGTGAACAAAGTGTTCCAGATTAGACAGCAAATAGTACAGTCAGGATAGGCTATGAGGAAAGGCTGCATTTTAGAGATAGACAGATAAGGATAGAAAGGAAATGCCTGTGGGGGATCAGAGGCACAAAGAGGTTTCTATAGCTTACCCAAGCTCACAGGTAGCAAGCAACAGTGATTAAATACCATTTCCTCCTCCCTCCCTCGCCCACTCTTTATTAGTGTTCTTTTTGAAAAGCAGGGCCACTTAAACTTTTGCTAGGTTTGAAATAAGCAGGGCTAGTTCTCATTCTCCCTTGATTAGAGAGGCAAGTCCAGTGGAGATTAATCAAAAGTTTGAATCACAGAGTAGGTGAAAAGAAGTGCTGTTTTCATCACTTACAAACACCGGAACCAACCTGCTAGGAGGGCCTCTTCAGGGCATTTGCTTTAATGAATAGTGAGGACTGATTTGGCTTATTTAGGACATCAACCATCACCCAGAGGACTCATGAGCAATTTATCCTTGGCAGTATTTTGAACTCCCACTTGCCCTGTAATCTTTTTCCCCCTTAATAAAATTTTTATTTTATACTGGTTTATTTAACATCCCCCTGTAATCTTGTTCATGGGCATCATTGGCTCAGCAAGATCTTCCATTGGAGATGCCATAAAGGTAAACTGCACTCAGACCCCTGATGTGATTCTCACCAATTCCAAATGGGTGAAACCTGGATAAGCAAGTGCACCTGGGGAATAAATCTGTTCTGGTTTTTTTTTTTGGTTTTTTTTTTCTCCCTCCCCACCCTCATCTCTCCTGCCCCTTTCCCCTTTGGATGTTTTATCCACATCTTACTATTCTTCTATTTTTTTACAATAATGGTTTTATGCAATATTTGTCTGTATAAGATTGAGTTACTTCACTCAGCATAATGCTCTCTAGCCTCTCCCAGGTTATATAGTATTTTATGAAAGCCAGTTCATGCATTGGGGTTGGTCTGGCCTATGAGTTCAAATGCTAGGTTCTGGGAACCAGGGTTTGTTGGCTGGCACTAACCATGTACCTCTGATTGTTCTACAGGCCTGATATTGGTCATCTACTTTTTGTTCTATGCCTCTCTGGCTGCTGTGATAACTGTCTGCATGTATACACTATTTCTGGCCATCAGTCCTTACCTGCCGACCTTCACTGAGAGAGAGAAGCCTCCTGGTGAGTACCCAAATGCCCTGCATTGTCAGAAATTGCTGGACAGATGTTTGCTTGCACAGCATATCTAGCCTCAATTAACTTTGGCAATTCTCAGTAATGACTTAGGGATTCAATTATTAAGATAAAAGTAAAATGGTACTTGGCAAATTATGGTGCTTTTCATTTTGACTGCCTTGGGCTGGGGGGTGGTGGTGGTTTCATGGGAATCGATACTAAAAATGATCCCAAGAACAGATTAATATATCTAAGACTTGTTTTCATTGCCAGGAGTTATGATCAGACCCTTTGCCCAAAGTCTGAACTTCAACTTCAATGTTTCTGAACCTGACACTTGGCAGCATTATGTGATTAGCCTAAATGGCTTTCTTCAGGGTAAGTTCCTCAGAATGGTGGAAAGCTCTTTTGAAAGGTAATGGGTCGTTGTTGTCAGGTGCCATCGAGTGGGCTATTAATGCATAGCAACCCTATCAACAAAAGACCTGAACCTTGCTCTATCCTGGGTCATCCTTGGATATCTCAGATATACTTGAGCCAATGGCACAGTCACTGTGTCAGTCTATTTCATTGAAGGTCTTCCTCTCTTTCTTTGACGATCTACCTATACCAGTATGATGTCTTTTTTCAAGGACTGGCCCCTCCTAATGACATTCCCAAAATATGGGAGGCAAAGTTTCACCATCCTTGCCTCTAGGGAGTACCCTGGTTGCACTTCCTTCAAGATAGATGGACTTGTTCTCTTGGCAGTCCATGAGTGAATAAAAATTCACCTGACCCCAAAATTCCGCATTCCTCTCCCGATTTTGAACCATACACTGGGATTCCCATTTTCCTCAAACTTAGTCACAATTTGTTGTGATCCACACAGTCAAATGGCTTTGCATAGACAATGAAACAGAGATAAACATTTCTCTGGTACTCTTTGCTTTCTGCCAAGACCTATCTGACATTGGCAATAATGTCCCTAGTGCCACGACCTCTTCTAAATCCATCTTATATTTCTCTGTCAATGTACTGTTCCAGTAATTTCTGGATAATCTTCAGCAGGATTTTGATAGTGTGTGATATAAGCAATACTGTTTGATAATTTCCACACTCTCAGGTCACCTTTTCTTGAAACAGAAATAAATATGGATTTCTTCCAGTCTGTTGTCCACCAGGTCTCTTGGCATAACCTGGTGAGTATATCCAGGGCAGCATCTGTTTGTTGAAATATGTCAGTTGGTATTCCATCAATTCCTGGGGTTTTATTTTTTTGCCAAATCCTTCAAAACAGCCTGAACTTCCTCCATCATCACCATTGCCTCTTGATCATATGTTGTTTCTTGAAATTCTTCTGTGTCAGCCAATTCCTTTTGGTACAACTCCTTTTATCTTCTTTCAGTGCTTCCTGAATCATTCAATATTCTGCCCATAGTATCCTTAAGCATTGCAACTCATTGACACATCAAAACCTCCCTAGGTGGTGACTGTATATTTTCTTGAAAGCATGCATGCCAATTCTCTAGGAAAACTATAAGCTCTTTGGGAAAAAGGACCGACTTGCTTTCTTTTCTTGAAAACTTCATTGTTGTGTGTGCTATCAAGTCAGAACCGACCCAGAGCTGATACAGGAGGAGATTGCCCAATCTTCTCCCTCTGAGAAGATGTGGATTTGAACTATGTGCCTTCAGGATTACAGCACAGCTTCTTAACACTAGTCCACCAGAACTCCTTTAAAAACTCCATGCCATCTAATTAAAGGTTAGGCAAATTCAAGTGTCTCCATAAAGGTTAGCTAAATATCTGCAATGATTACTTTTGTTGTTATGTGTCTTCAAGTTGGAACCAACTCCTGGCTGACCCCCAGTGGATTTTCAGAAGCTGTAAATTGCAGAGGAGGAGATTTCCCATCTTTCTTTCTCTGAGTGTCTGGTGGATTTGAATTGTGCACCTTTAGGTTCACAGTGCAACTCTTTACCATTAGGCCACCAGAGCTTCCCTAATGAAATATCATTTCAGGAGTAGATGATGACCTTAGAACTGGATATTTCCTGCCCCTTACACTTTCTCAAGGTAGAAGACAAAGAGAGGAAGACCCTCAACCAGAAGGATTGACACAGTGATTGCAGCAATGAGCTCAAACATGTAAAAAATGGTGAGGATGGCACAGGATAAGGCAGGCTTCAGATGTGAAGGCCCCTCCATGTGGTGAAAGCTGAGGTGGAAGCTTAGGTAAGGCAAAACACAAAGCATGTAGGTTCTGTATCCAGCTATCAAAGAGAGGCCCCAGTGGGGTGTGCATTGCTGCAACTATTATTGGGGGGGGGAAGAGAGATTGTTTTGCTTAGCCTGATATGGCTGAAGAGGTGAGACAAGTGGAGACTAGTAGAAATTGAATTGGGAGAAAAACAATCTCTTGTGCCAGAAAGTGATACTTAAATAGATATACTTTGTCTTTTAGTTGTAATCTTACACAGTAGAGCCTATAGTCTCATTTTACAAATAAAGGAAGTGAAATTCAGAAAAGGGAAGTCATTTGATCAGCCTCCCAAAGGTAGAAGCAGCACGTGAACCCTAGTTTATGTTCTTGACACCTTTGCTATTTAAAGTGTGAATCAAGCTGTAACTTTTCAGACAGAGATTTCTAGGCCTTTCTTTTAAAGTACTTCTGGGTAGGCTTGAACCATCAACCTTTTCATTAGTAGTTGAGCACTTAACTGCTTGCATCTGCCAGGGTTTCCTGCCATATGGCCAGTGTTGTTGTTGCTGTTATGTGCCTTTGAGTTTGGTCCAACTCATAGCTGACCCTCCAGCAGGTTTTCAGAGGCAGTAAATCACTCATGAGGAGATGGCCCATCTTTCTCCCATGGGGTAGCTGGTAGATTCGAACTGTGTGCTTTTGGGATTTCAGCACAACTTTTTACCACTAGACCATCAGAACTCCTTCACGACCAGTGCCAGAGGTTAGAAATTCAGCTTCATCAGTAATGCCCAGTGTTATTTTGGCTAAGTTTGAGCTCCATATACCTTACCTATAAAACAAGGAGCTAGTAAACTCCTAAGAAACTCTTTTAGAGACCATGTAGTTCTGACAAAAAAAGTATTTGGGAGCCAGAAAAGGACATCACCAAAATAGAAAACTATAGGCCAATCTTTCTCATGAACATAGATGCAAAAATCCTGAACAAAATACTGGCCAATAGAATTCAACGATACATCAAAGAAATAATTCACCATGACCAAGTGGGATTCATAACAGGTACGCAAGGATGGTTCAACATAAGGAAAACAATTAATGTAATTCATCACATTTACAAAGCAAAGAACAAGAATCACGTGATCCTATCAACTGATGCAGAAAAGGACTTTGACAAAATCCAACACACTTTCCTGACTAAAACACTCAGCAAAATAGGATTAGAGGGAAATTTCTTCAAAACAGTAAAACAGTAAAAAGTATTTATGCAAACACGAGAGCCAACATTGTTCTCAATGGAGAGAGGTTAAAGGCATTCCTTTTAATAATAGGAACTAGGTAAGGATGCCCACTATCACCTCT